ATTAGAAACAAAGACAGGTTGGAGAATACAAACCATAAAGGGCATAAAGGTATGCACCATTGCACCAGGATTCTTTCTCTTTTTCTCTATCCAAGTCTGTGGGATGTTGGATGTGATGGCAAGAGTCACAGTAGTGATATTTGACCATGAGGTAATAGACTGAATGTTTGTGCCCTTGAAATTCCTAGGCCTCAAATTGAATCCCCAGTAGGATTCTATTTGGAGGTGGGCGTTTGGGAGGCTCTGCATGAAGGGTGTTCGTGTCATAATTGCCTTAAACAAATAAAGGAGACCCACAGAACTCCCTTGTGCTTTCTGCCCTGAAGCCACAGGGAGAAGATATCTGTCTATTAACTAAGAAGCAGGCTCTTGGCAGACACCAAATCTGGTACCTTGACACTTCCCAGTGTCAACAACTGCAAAACATACCTCATGCAAAGGGCTACTCTCCCTTAACAATTGAGATAGGCAATAGCATTACCTCAAAAAAGAGATATCTAGCAATAAATATAATGAAACATAGATAGGATCTGCAGGTGGGAAAGTATACATTCTGATGAAAGAAATCAAAGCGGTAAATAAATGAAAAGAGAGCCTGTGTTCATGGGTTGGAAGACTTAATATTGTTAAAATGCCATTTCTTCCCCAATGCAATCTACTAGTTCAATGCAATCCCGATAAAACCCCAGCAAGTCGCTTTTTTATTTATCAAAAAGGTAAGAACAAAGTCAGAGAACTCACACTACCCATCTTTAAGATTTGCTATAAAACCATAGTAATCAAGACTTTGGTATATTTCTCTCTCTCTCTCTCTCTCTTCCTCCCTCCTTCTCTCTCTCTACCCAACCCCTCTTTCTTTTTTTTCCAGTACTAAGCATTGACTCAGGGGGGACTCTACTACTACATCCCCAGCCCCCAATCTGCTGAGGTCAGCCTTGAACTTGAGATCCTCATGCTTCAGTTTCTCAAGTCACTGGGAATTCAATGTGCAACCCCAACACCTGGGTGTGTGGTATATTTCAAAAGAATAGAGAGGGCTGGGGCTATGGCTCAGTGGTAGAGTGCTTGCCTGGGGACAACCTGGGGTCCATCCCCAGCACCGCAAATAAAAGAATAAATAAATAGGGTGCTGGGGTCATTCTAGGGTCACGTCTTTCTGGTTCTGGGAGTCATGCTGGGGTTTGGAAGTCAAGACTCTTAACAGGCGACTTAGCTTTCCATTGCTGTGACAAAATAGCTAAGATAAGCAACTTTTTTTTTTTTTTAATTTTATTCTTTAGTTTTCGGCAGACACAACATCTTTGTTTGTATGTGGTGCTGAGGATCGATCCCGGGCCGCACGCATGCCAGGCGAGCGCGCTACCGCTTGAGCCACATCCCCAGCCCCTAAGATAAGCAACTTTAAAGGAGGGAAATTTCATTTGATGCATGGTTCCAGAAGCTTCGGCCCATGTCCCCTGGGCTCAGTTGCTTGGCCTGTGGTGACTGAGCCCACGATCATGGCCTTGGCAAGAGCACGCAGAAGACTTCATCTCAAGGCGTCTGGGAGGCAATGAAGGAGACTGGGAGGGGCGGGGCTCTTTAATTCCCCTTTAAAGCCACGCCCCATGACCTCACTTCCTGCCCATAGCCCCTCCCCTTAAAGGTCCCACTACCTCCAATAGCGCCACAGGTAAAGCAGCAAGCCTTTAACAGGTCAACATTTAGGGGACACTGCCAAGCCACCACAAGCTGTTGTTATAAACCAACTGTTTTGCAGTTCCCACAGAAAGACATGGAAGAAACTTAAATGCATATTACTAAGTGAAAGGAATCCATGTTTCTGAAAAGACCATATTCTGTGTGATTTCAGCCAAATGACATTCTGGAAAAGGCATAATTATGGTGATTGTAAAAACACTGTTTTGGTGAGCTTTTTCACGGCTATGGCCAAAAAGATCTGACCAGAACAATTGTAGAGGAGGAAAAGTTTATTTGAGGGCTCACGGTTTCAGAGGTCTTAGTCCATAGAAGGCTGGCTCCATTCCTCGGGGCTCGAGGTGAGGCTGAATATCATGGCAGAAGAGTGTGGTGGAGGGAAGCAGCTCATGTAATGACCAGGAAGCAGAGATATGGGTCTCCACTTGCCAAGTACAAATATATACCCCAAATCTATGCTCCAATTCCCACCTCCAGTCACACCCAGCCATTTCAATGGCCGCTGTTAATCCTATCAGCGGATAAATTCACTGACTGGGTTAAGACTCATAATCCCAATTATTTCTTCCCTGAACCTTCTTGCATTGACTCACACTATGAGCTTTTGGGGAATACCTCACATCCAAACCATAACAAACGTAAATGGATGTAGGGCACGGTGGTGCACACCTGTAATCCAAGCAATTTGGGAGGCTGAGGCAGGAGGATCACAGGTTGGAGGTCATCCTTAACAACTTAGTGAGGCCCTAAGCAATTTAGGGAGTCCCTGTCTTAAAATAAAAATTATAAATGCATTGGAATATAGCTCATTGTTATAGCACCCCTGAGTTAAATTCCCAGTGCGAGAGAGAGAGAGAGAGAGAGAGAGAGAGAGAGAGAGAGAAGATTGGTTGCCAGAGGCACTAGAAGTCAGAGAGGTGAATAAGTGGAGCATGGGGAATGTCTTAGGGATGGTGAAATCAGTAAACATATGACATTGTAATAGTAAAATTCATGACACTACACATTTGTAAAACTCACACAAGTGAACAGCACAAATGGTAAATATTAATAAATTCAAAATTTCATAAAATCTTTGAGCAGGTCAGGGGATTCCAGGACAGAATGCAGAATGTGACAAAATAATCTTGCCATATTACAAGCAATCTTACTAAGATGTGAACATTTGGGCTGGGGATGTAGCTCAAGCGGTATGTAGCGCGCTCACCTGGCATGCACGTGGCGCTGGGTTTGATCCTCAGCACCACATGAAAAATAACATAAAGATGTTGTGTCCACCGAAAACTAAATAAATATTTAAAAAAGATGTTAACATTTATTAGGAATACTAATAACCAGCTAAGATACTTGATAGAATAAAAGTATGGTAAAGTCCTGCACCAACACTTTGTCCAGTCTACTTGGTCCCTGTCAAGAAGCGGCATCCCAGGTGGGTTGGCAGAGTTGCAACCCAGGTAGGTTGAAGCGCAAGTGGCAAACGCTGGGCTGGCCTGGTCACAGGGAGCCTGGCGAGCTGATCTGTCTTCCCTCAGGGGCCAGGTCTGGGCATAGCCCACTGCAGGGGAGCAACCCACTTGAATGAAAGGCAGGACTTAAGAATTGACCAATAGCGTTAACGATTCCAAACCCTAATTAGCATAAGTTTGGACCAATAGCATTAGTACATTTTCAAACCCTAATTTGCATAAGTTTCGACCAATCGCAGTGAGCCAAGTGCTATATAAGCCGCTCCACTGACAACCTCCAGAGGGTTTTTAGTTTTGTTGTGCAAGGCAGTTGTCTGTATTTGAGTGAATTGTATTTTAGTACTTAGGCAGTGGAAGGCCATCCCCGTGTTGTGGTGCACACCTGTAATCCCAGTGGCTGGGGAGACTGAGGCAGGAGGATTGCGAGCTCAAAGTCAGTCTCAGCATCTTACCGAGGCACTAAGGAGCTCAGTGAGACCCTGTTTCTACATAAAATACAAAAAAGAACTGGAGGTGTAGCTAAGTGTTTAAATACCCCTGATTCGATTTCTGGCACTAAAAGAAAAAAATCCAAAATACCTGTAATGCTTAGTTGTTGAGGCTTGCAGCTTGTGTAGTCTTCAGTGATGGGTAGAATCAGTGGAGTGAGTTTGTTGCAAGACTTTTGCGCTCAATAGCATCCCTAGGTTTGCCTCAAGGGGTGGAAAAACTCTATCTACATCTGCCTAGTTTTATTAAAAACAATCTATATTTGGTTCTGCTGTCATTAAGTAGCAAGAAGACTCCAGGTTCTATGCTGAGTTTTTACTTTGATTCTCACCAAGAATATTCACAATTCTTTGAAACAGACTGCTTTTCCCTGACAGATACAGTGTACCCATAGCGATCTTATCCTGGGGTGATCACATGGGTGTTTGGAATCTATGCAGGAGTAAGAGAGCCTGGGAAAGTGTCCTGCCCACTCTCTGTGCCTCTGGGTTAGGGGGTCTACTTCCTTGGCTGGAAGGGAGATTTATAGGGGTAGAAAACAAAGGTACAGGTGACCTTAAAGTCTCCGTTTACTGGGCTGGGCGTGTAACTCCATTGGAGAGGGTGCACTTAGTATGCAGGAGGCCCTGGGTTCAGTGCAAGACACCCAAAGAAATTTTTTAAAAATATATAAGACAGCTGGGCACAGCGGCATACACCTCTATTCCCAGCAGCTTGAGAGGCTGAGGCAGGAGGATCACAAATCCAAAGTCAGCCTCAGCAACTTACTGAGGCCCTAAACAACTTAGTGAGACCTTGTGTGAAAATCAGAAAATAAAAAAAGGCCTAGGGGTGTGGCTCAGTGGTCAAGTGCCCCTGGGTTCAGTCCCCCAGGGCTTTGTTTGGACTGTGGGTTGAACTTGGTGTGATTGGACCACGTCCTGTCTCTGTGGTTCTGGGGCAGGCAAGCGTAGGCGAAGGAAGGGGGTCAGGTGAGGGCCGAACCAGCCGAGTGGACCGTTTCTCTTGGTTGAATGTCTACAAGATAACGAAAAGTGGGGGCTCAGAGAGGGAAAGTAACTTGGCCAAGTCTGCACAGCACGAGATGACTTGCAGAGCTGGGATGGGTAACGGGCTCGGATGCCATGTCGGTGGCAGCGATCGGGGTCAAGGGGTCCCCAGGACGCCCCTGGGAGGTGTCGCCCTGCGGTGACGGTGGGGGGGTGAGCTCCCGATCCCTGGGGAGGTGCAGGCCGCTGCGGTGGCGGTGTCCAGGGGCCGGGCGGCGCGGGCGGGCGGGGCGGGGGCTGCTATTTCTGTCCCGTGAGCGCAGCCGGCGCCGGGGCGGGGGAGGGGGCGCCCGCGCCGCCATATTCGCTCCCGCCGGCGGCCCCGCGGCGCGCTCCACCATGAGCACCGCCGCCTTCCACATCTCCAGCCTCCTGGAGAAGATGACGTCCAGCGACAAGGACTTCAGGTGCGCCCCCGGATCGCGCCTCCACGGCCACCCGGGGCCCCCTTTCCCCCAGCCCCAGGCCGGGGACCCTCCAGGGGACCGTGCAGCCCGCCACCAAGCCCCGCTCCCCTCCCCCGCATCCTCCGCTTGGAGGCCATCGGACCCTCGGGGACCCCAGTCCCTGTGTCCCTGCGTCCCTGAGTCGTTTCCCGCCGTGCACCCCGCATCCGAGCCCCAGCTCCGCCCCTCGCACCCCGCTCCTGGGCCTCTTCTTTCTTCTTTCACTCCCAGCCTTGGCTGCCCCCAGGCCTCCCTTTCAGCCTCTCTCCTGGGCCTCCCAGCGCCAGCCTCTTCTGCCCCCGCCCCCCACCCCCCCCCATCGAACCCCCCCCCCCCCCCCCCCCCCCCCTCCCCCTCCCCCCCTTCGCCCCCCTCCCCCAACACATTTGCCCCCCCCCCCCCCCCAATCTCTGATTCTCCAGATCACTCAGGTCCCCTGGGACCGTCCACTCTCCTCCCCATGGCTCACCCACAGCCACAATGAGGCGCTTGGCAGGCACCGGGTCATGGTTGGGGTTTGGACTTCTAGATTCTGGGAGAGCCACCCCCTGCCCCCTCTCCCAGAACCACTGGGAACAGAGCTAGAAAGAAAGTCAACCCTCTGGCCAAGCCCTCAGTCTCGGGGGAAACTGAGGCCCAGCAAAGAGAAAGGGCCCCTGGTCCCATTGGCCAGTTCTGCACCCTCCAAGCTGAAGGGGCACTTAGAGACCAGCATGTTCACACCCACTTATTAAACACGCTGTCACTTTAACCCCTTTTTACAGGTAGGGAAACTGAGGTTCAGAGGCTTGTGAAGGGCCTTAGTGCAATCATGTAGCTAAGGAGTGGAGAACTTGGGGTCCACATCCAGGTTAGTCTAATCCATAGGGTAAGATCTTGACCAGGCCCACGGAATCCCAATTCCTGACCAGTGAGGGGACTGAGACCTGCTCTTGGGGTCTGATCCCTGCCCTCTCTGGCAATTCATTCCTCAGTACCCCTCAAGCGCCCCCCACCTCCCCCAATAGGGCCTTGGAGCCACCACAGTCTTGGCTTCAGATTCCATTTCCCACCGTTTCCTGGCTGTGTGACCGTGGGCAAGTTACTTAACTGCTCTGAGCCTTAATTCCTATTTCTTTAAAACGGGGATAGTAACAGAGCCACCTCAGGGCTGGTGTGAGGATCAAATGAGGTAGGAGCTGTGAGACAGTCAGCTCCAGGTATGATTTTGATCGACGGCCAGCATTGTGATTCTGGGCACGTCACAAACCAGCCATGCGCTGTCCCTTCTCCAATCCTTGGCACCTCCTTGACCTCCCACTTCATCTGTCAGCTCCCACTCAATTGTCACCACTTGGGGGGATGCCTCTTGACTGCAGACAGGGCTGGACACCTCCCCTAAGCTCCTGAACCACAAGGACTTTGTACTTCTTTTTGGTGACCCAGAGTCTATGCGTCGGTATACAGTAGGTGCTCAACAAATGCTTGCTGCGTCCCAGGCTCTGTGCTACGCTCCCCACGGTAATCTCCTCCAGTCCATCCAGCCACTGGGTTGAGTAGTGATTGCTCTGTCCCGTGTCCCAGAGCCTTGGAGGGGTGCGGTGACTTGCGCAAGGTCACATGGCCAGCCCTGGGGATTTGGACCACAGTTTCTTGGGCCTCCAGTGCAGTCTGCAGAGAGTTGGCCGTGCCAGCCAACAGTCTGTCCCTTGCCAGTGGCCTCAAGAACACTTAAAACCACCCTGAGCATATGAGAATGGTGTCTATTTTTAAAGTTCGAATACCAGGGGGCTGGGTCCCTCTGACCAGCTGTCTAGATGCCCGTGTGGCCAAGTGTTTCAACAGAGCGCTGCTAGGGATTCCCTGCAGTGAAGCACACTGTGTTCCTCTGGTTCCTGGAGGGGACCAGTGTATGCAAATGAGGGTCCCACTCCCAACTTGCATCGCCCCCAGCATTGGGTGCCAGGCTTGTTTTCCTGGGTCCCCGCTTCATTATGGCTCAACTTGGAGAAACCTTGCAGAAACTTCCAAATAATTCCTGGAAAACACAGTATCCACTGAGGAACCAGGAGACCTGTCCGGTGAGCCGATTCTCCACCTGCTTTGCTGTGTGACCTTGGGCAGTTCCTGCACCCTCTCTGAGCCTGGTTTCCGAGCTGGGCATCTGTGGGAACTCAGCGGTATCTGAAACACTGAGGCATATTTTAGAAGAGTTGAATTCCGCGTTCGGGTTTCCACACCCAGCTGTTTGGCTCTGCCGAGGGCTAGTGTTCCTCCTCCCTCCTCTCTTGCCCTCACCCTGGGCCCCAGGCCCTCTGCACACCTGTTCTTTGCTGAGCCTCATGTCCCAGCGATGAACCTCAGGGACCCTGCTCTCTGCCAAGTTCAAAATCAAAAGGAAGAACGGCTCTGGTGACCATATTTTCTTTGCAGCCCAGCGGGGACTGTAACAGAGGGATTCAAGGTGCTCTGAAAAGATCCTGTCCAGTTGTGCTTAAGTGTGTTGGGGGGTCGGTGGAAAGCAGGGAGGTGTCACCTATGAGGCTGGGGCATTTTAAGCTGGGCTCTTGTCGGTTGAATAGGAGTTCAACAGGTAGAGAAGGAAGGATTTTCCTGGGAGCACATTCCCAGGGTTGTTACGCCACTGAGCAGGGCTTCCGTGTCCTGCAGCGGAAACACGCAGCTTGCAGACCTTGTCTTCCTTCTCAGAATGTCCCCTCAGCTGAGCAGAGCTGTAGATGCATGTGGCCACCTCAGTTTTTGACCTGGCTCAAAGCCAAAACCTCCTCCTTCAACCTTACCTTGGCCCACAGGTAAACACTGTCAGCCGCCCGTGTTCTTTCCTCCAGCCCAGAGCCCACCTCCCCAGTCCTTTATATTTTTTTATTTAGAGACAGGGTCTCCCTGAGTTACTTAGGGCCTTACTAAGTTGCCGAGGCTGGCCTCCAACTCGCAATCCTCCTGCCTCAGCCTCCTGAGCCACTGGGATGACAGGCATGCGCCACTGCACCCAGCAGTAATTCAAATGTTCATTTTTTTTTTTTTTTTGGTACTTTGGATTGAACCAGGGAGGGGTCGACTCTACCTTCTTATTTGGAGGCAGGGTCTCTCAAACGTTTGAAAAGACAGTCGCAAGCTGGTCATTACCGAGAGCTCAAGTCCTCTTCTGAAGCCCCAAGTCACCCTGTCCTAACAGCTGAGACTCCCACTGCCATCTCAAATGCCAGGGACAGGGCCTCAGGCCATAGGCACTGGGCCACCCACCTGTGGGTGCATGAAGCGCTTGACTCTGGTGCCCAGCTCAGCCAGTGAGCTGTGTCTGTGGCCCTATTGTTCGGCCATCTGTGCTGGCCTCCAGAACATGCCCAGGGCCCATCAGCCTGGCCTAGGACAGTGGTCTCCCATGGGGAAGGCCTTGACTTTGAACATCATGCAGGAATTGTTAGAAATGCAGATTCTCAGGCTGCAACCTGGACCCCCTGATTCAGAAAGTAGGCTGGGGTCTGGCGTGATTGACAGTCCCCTGCCGGGGCCTCGGATGGTGGCTTCAGTCCGAGGTCCTTTGGTCTAAGGGCAGGACCTTCATTGATTCCCTCAAAGTGGGGTGGACAGGGCCAGCCTCCCTCCTCTGGTAGAGGTGGCCCTTGCTGACATCTGACTTGGTCCTAAAGCCCCCGTTTCACATTCTACTGTCCCCCCACCTTCCCGCGTGGTGGCTATGAGACACAAGGTATGGAATGTGCCATCTTACAGTGGCAGTGACAGTTATGGAGGGCTCTCCACATGACCTGCCGCCCTGCCAGGCAGGTACCATTCTTGTCCCCATTTCCCAGACAGGTAAATAAATGAAGGCTCAGAGAGGCGAAGGGACTTGTCCAAGATCATATTTGCAGAAATGACAGAGTCAGGAGCCACCGACCCCAGAGCCTGAAGAGTTTAGCCACCCACTCCTAGTCTGCCACCCTGTTCTGGGGCAACTCGGAGATACTGTGCCAATTCCCAGCTGCCCAGACATCCTCCTCCTGTGCCCCGTCCCTCCTCCCCAGGTTCATGGCCACTAGCGACCTGATGTCCGAGCTGCAGAAGGACTCCATCCAGTTGGATGAAGACAGCGAGCGCAAGGTGGTCAAGATGCTCCTCCGGCTCCTGGACGACAAGAATGGGGAGGTGCAGAACCTGGCGGTCAAGTGGTGAGTGTCACCCTCCGTGGGGACAGTGACTCAGTCTGCAGTTCTCCCAAAAGTCAACCCAGAGCCCAGTAAGTTGTTGAGGCCGGCCTCAAACTTTGAGAGATCTTCCTGCCTCAGCCTCCTGGGTAGCTGGGATTGCCAGAGGGTACCTTTCTTTCTAGCCGCACAGAGGGTCCCCTGTTGAATGCAGCCAATTTCCTCAGTACATGGGGCCCCAGAAGAAGCCTGAGGGGAATTAAGGGTGGGGGGACAGCCTGACTTAGGCTAAATCTGGGGCTTTGGGACCCATCTCCTTCCCTGCTCAGCCTGGGTCCCCTGGTGGGCAAAGTGAAGGAGTACCAGGTGGAGACCATTGTGGATGCCCTGTGTGCCAACCTGCGGTCAGACAAGGAACAGCTCCGAGACATTGCTGGCATCGGCCTCAAGACGGTCCTCTCAGAGCTGCCCCCCGCGGCCACAGGTACCCGGGACCCCAGGACTAGGCACTATTCTTTGCCCAAGTTTAAAAGAGGAAGGAAAGAAACTTACCCGTGGTCACTGTGGTAGAGAATTTAGACTGGATCCATTTAAATCAATGACTCTTGTGTCCTTTAGGAATGCTTTGAGCGGCAAGTAATCAAAACTGTGCAGCTTAAAGAAGTAACGTGGTGTCTCTGGAGGGACCAGCTACCTCATTGTCATAGCGATTTACTTAGCAGCTCAGTATTGACAGGGCTGAGGTCTCTGCCCGCATCTCCTCCCTTTTATAAGAAAAGCACATATTTCCCCAAAAGGAAATATGCCCACCTTGCCCACCATGCATCCCGCACAGGCTCTGGGCTGGCCACCAATGTGTGCAGGAAGATCACAGGCCAGCTCACCAGCGCCATCGCCCAGCAGGAAGACGTGGCTGTGCAGCTGGAGGCCCTGGACATCCTGTCTGACATGCTGAGCAGGTGAGGGAGGCTGCCCTGGGCAGTGAGGGCGGGGGACACTCAGAGCTGCAGGCTGGCATTGCTGAACACCAGGCCCTTAACCGTCCAGCAGCCCTGCAAAGGAAAGCTTGGTTGTCCCCATCAAACAGGCTCTGAGAGGCCATGTGGCCGTCCCGAGGTCACACTGTCAGTAAAATCTCCCGTGACTTGAGCACCTTATTCTGTGCCCAGTACAATGGCACAGATGATGTTGGGCATAGAGAGTGGGCTACTCCTGAGGGGACCTCTCTTTGCTTTCTGTCCTGTAAAAATAATAAATAACTGGACTAGTCAGCCCTCACCCTCGGAGAGCGCCTTTCTATTTCCAAAGGCCATCTATCTGGTTGTCAATTTTCTGGGGGGAGAGGACAGGAGAGGATGGGGACCGGGGACCGTGTGTCTGGGGCCCCCAGCCTGACGCTCCGCTCTGGCCGTCGCAGGCTGGGCGCGCCGCTGGGCACCTTCCACGCCAGCCTGCTGCACTGTCTGCTGCCCCAGCTGAGCAGCCCGCGCCTGGCCGTGCGCAAACGGGCCGTCGTGGCTCTCGGCCACCTGGCGGCGGCCTGCAGCACCGACCTCTTCGTGGAGCTCGCCGATCACCTGCTGGACCGGCTGCCCGGCCCGCGCGCCCCCGCCAGCCCAGCCGCCATCCGCACTCTGATCCAGTGTTTGGGCAGCGTCGGTCGCCAGGCCGGCCACCGCCTCGGTGAGGGGGCGGGGCTGAGCTCCGCGGGGCGCTAGGAGAGGGGCGGGGCCTGGGCATATGTGGGCGGGGCCTAGGAACCGCGTGCTGGCTAAAGGGGCGTGGCTAAAGCGTTGGGGGCGGGGCTCGAGGGGCGGGGCTCGAGGGGGTTCCTGAGCGCAAGACTTGCACGAACTTGAGCTCAGGGTCCAGGAAAGTGCAAGCTGCTTAAGGAACAGGCTTAGGTCCCTCAGTTCTGTGACCCAGAGGTTCACAGGTCCTTCTAAGTCAGGCTACCAGACCATTAGCCTCCTACTGTGACCAAGTTACCTTAATAACAACCTGTGAACTAGGTTTGGATTTATTTTATTTTATTTTTATTAAAAAAAATTTTTTTTTCTTAGTCATAGCTGAACACAATGTCTTTATTTTAATGTGGTGCTGAGGATAGAACTCAGGGCCTCACACATGCTAGGCAAGCGCTCTACCGCTGAGCTACCACCCCAGCCCTAGGTTTGGATTTTTAAAAAATGCTATTGGGGGACAATGTGCATCCAATGAACCACACCATCTAAGGTGCCTTTTAGAGCATTTTAGTGCTTTTTGACCTTTGGACACATGCATGAAGCTACCGCATGTGCAAAGGTCCAGATGCAGGACATTTCCATTATCTCTCCCCACCCCCAAATTGCCTCGCACCTCTCTGGACACCATCTCTCCCTCTGCCTCACCTCTGGCAGCCTTTGGATGTAGAAGGCAGCTTCGAATTTGCCCTCAGACCCATTGAATAGGCGTTCCAAGCTAGAACAAGACGGAGTGGATCGTTGACCTGTGGTCACCACCCCCCACCCAGCCCCTGGTGGTCTCAGGACAAGGGGGCTTTGCACGTTCCAATGCGGACGCCCCAGCCCACACGTCCACATCTGTCTTATCATCCCAAACAGCAGCCACTCCTTACTGACCCTCAGAATCCTGCACAGACTTGGAAAAGGGCTCAGGGTTGGTTGAGTAGGAAACTTTGGGGTTCCAGGTTCCCAAAGTAGAAGCTAGAAAGAGTGTTGGAGGGTCCCCAGGTCATCATTTCTTGCACTGTGAGAAAGGGTGTAAATGAAGAGGCCATGATCAGTATCCTCTAAAGCCTGGGGACCACCACAGTCCCCAATTGCCTGGTCTTGTGAGGGCAGTACCTGCCTCTCCCCTTTTCCCATCCGGGGACTTACAACCTCGTGCAGGAAATAAAGCAAGACCATAAATAATGGTTGGACTACAGAAGCTCCTCCGTCAGGACCTGGGCTAAGCTCTTGATCTGCAGGATACATTTGTCTTTGCCAAATCTCTGCCCAGTGGGCGTCGTTACCCTGACTGTAAAGTAGTCAGGTACAGGCTGCCTCAGAGAAGTCTTGTGACCTGCTCAAGGCACACAGGTGGCAGAGTCAGGGTTCCCACACGCACCTGTGAACCCTCTAAGTTGAATTCGCAGTGGTCAGGGCTGCAGGTGTGGGGCTGAGCTGCGGGCTATGGGCTGGGGAGACCCAGAGAAGGGTCTGGCCTAGCTGACCTGCCTGGCCCTGCAGGGGCCCACCTGGACCGCCTGGTGCCCCTGGTGGAGGAGTTTTGCAACCTGGATGACGATGAGCTCCGAGAGTCCTGCCTCCAAGCCTTTGAGGCCTTCTCGAGGAAGTAGGTGCCGCAGGGAGAGCTGGAAACAGGGAGTGGGGTGAGGGGGGCCTTGGTGGGGAACGGGGCTGAGACACTGGCTTCGCAGTGGTAAGATTCCAAGATCCACCCCTGGGCCCCACCCTCAGGTGTCCCAAGGAGATGGACCCTCATGTGGCCAACGTGACCAGCCTCTGCCTCCAGTACCTCAAGCACGATCCCAACTATAACTACAACAGCGACGAGGACGAGGAGCAGATGGAGACCGAGGACAGCGAGTTCAGTGAACAAGGTGGGCGGATGCCCTGTCCTGGGGGTTGGAGGTGGGCATGACCTTCCCAGGATGCCCCTGCCATAGACAGGGGGGATCAGGCTCAGCTCTTCACAGGCTGCATCTACACATTCAACCAACTGTGAGTCGAAAGTACTTGAAAAATTAGCGGTGGCACGTGCCTGTCATCCCAGCGGCTCGGGAGGCTGAGGCAGGAGGATCTTGGGAGGCTGAGGCAGGAGGATCTCAAGTTCAAAGCCAGCCTCAGCCCAAGCGAGGCCGTAAGCAACTCAGTGAGACCCTGTCTCTAAAGAAAACACAAAATAGGGCTGTGTGTCTTGTTCCCACCCCAGAGAGCGAGGACGAATACAGTGACGACGATGACATGAGTTGGAAAGTGCGCCGGGCGGCGGCCAAGTGCATAGCAGCCTTGATTGGCTCCAGGCCCGACCTGCTGCCCGATTTCCTCTGCACCCTGGCGCCCGCTCTCATCCGCCGCTTCAAGGAGCGGGAGGAGAACGTCAAGGCCGATGTCTTCGGGGCCTATATCGTGATGCTGCGGCAAACACGGCCCCCCAAGGGGTGGTTGGAGGCTGTCGAGGAGCCCACCCAGACGGGGAGCAATCTCCACATGCTGCGAGGACAGGTGGGTCACACCTCTGCCCGGTCACCTGCTCACCATCTGCCTTCCCATCCTCCCACCCACCCCACTGTCCGCCTGGCTGCTGTTCTGAGCATGGACCTGTGTGCGAGGTGCTGGGACCCAGCAGGAACCATGCAGATCAAGTCCCTAACCACTGGGCAACACAGTCTGGGCAGCCACAGAAGCAGGGCAGCTGGGCCGTGGTGTGGAGTGGGTTTTTTTTTTTTTTTTGGTGAGTTGGGTACCAGGGATTGAATTAGGGGACACTCGACCACTGAGCCCCGTCCCCAGCCTTATTTTGCATTTTATTTAGAGACAGGGTCTCACTGAGTTGCTTAGGGCCTCGCTTTGGCTGAGGCTGGCTTTGAACTCTCGATCCTCCTGCCTCAGCCTCCTAAGCCCCTGGGATGACAGGCATGCCCCATAGCGCCTGGCTCCGGAGTGTGCTTTATTCCAGCAGGAGGCAGAAGCTAAGGGAGGGGAATAAGGTACAGTTTGCATTTGAAAAACCTCACTCTGGCTGCTGGGTGGGGAATGGATTGTAATAAGACCAAAGTCAAGGCTGGAAACCAACCGGAAGTCGTTGCAACTGTCCAGGTGGCAAGAGATTGTGATGGACTTAGTGCCAGCCACAGAAAAGAGAACCTAGAGAAGTAGATTTGGGGTTGAATCACTGGGTCTCGCTGATTGATTGGACAGGCAGGTGTCATGTGACTTTCAGGTTTCTGGCTAAAGCAGAAGTGCTTTTCCCTAGGAAGGGGGAGAATTGGGAGAGGAGGGGAATATTTAAACTTCTACATGTTTATGTTCAAGGTCTTCATTGGCTGGCTCTCATACTCTGGTTTCCGTTACTATAACAAAATACTGAAGGCTGGGTACTTACTAAAGAAAAGAAGTTCAGCAAGGTGCTAAGCAGCTCATTGAGACCCTGTCTCTCAATAAAATACAAAATAGGGCTGGGGATGGGGCTCAGTGGTCGAGTGCCCCTGAGTTCAATCCCTGGTACCAACCCCCAGCCCCCCCCACAAAAAATATATTTAGCTCAGTGGTTTGGAGATAGAAAGTCCAAACAGTGAAAATATTTTGTGTACAACCAGTGACTTGAAAAATTGCTGTCTATGTGCAATATGAAATGAATTGCATTTTGCCATCAGGGATAACAAATGAGAATAAATAATAATTTAATAAAGAAAAAAAAAAGAAAGAAAGTCCAAACAGCAAACAGCACAGTCCGGGCTCTGGTAAGGGCTTCCCTTGCTGCTCACATCCTCGAAGATGCATCATGGCTGGGACGTGGGCCGAGGAGGAGATCCCAAGGTGAAACAGGAAGCCAGAAGAGAGAGGGGGGCCAGGCTCACTCTCCCTATAACAAGCCTCCCTTGAAAACTGAGGTCCCACTCAGCAGGCAGGGTCCCCAGAGACCCCACTACCGCTACCTTTTCAAGATCCCACCCTCCCCCAAAATCAAGCTTCCCAAACAGGAACCTTTGAGAGTCACGAGCCACAGCCAAACCATGGCAGGGGCCCAGGTGGCTCTGTCCAGCTGGTGGAAGGCCCCGGAGTCTGGGGTTGGAGATGCAGATCTGGGCTGAAGCTCACGGGGAAGAGAATCTAGCTGAGGAAGCCAAGGTCCCCCTTGTGGGGTCAGCCAGGCTCCTGCTTCCCCCTCATGACCGGTAGCAGCCACAGGCCGACTTCCTGGGTGACCTTGAGCTGGTTACATTAATGGACACGAGAATCGTCCGTACCTCTGCCGGTCTGTGTGTCCATCAGTCCAGCACTCAGTGCTGGGGAGGCATCCTGTCCTCGCTGGGCATCTTCCCTGGGGACGCACCTGGACCAAGCCCCGTGGGAGTGGGTGGGCTGGGGCGGTTTCCTGGGTGGCCCCTGACCCCCCCACCTGCCCACAGGTGCCCCTGGTCATCAAAGCCCTGCAGCGACAGCTGAAGGACCGCAGCATCAGGGCCCGGCAGGGCTGCTTCAGCCTTCTGACCGAGCTGGCCGGAGTCCTCCCTGGCAGCCTGGCGGGGTACATGCCGGTACTGATGTCAGGTAGGCTGGGCGGGCCCCGAGGGGTCTTCCTGTGGCCTCTTCCAAGGCCCTGAGTTGGTGGCTTCAGCCCCGAGGGGAGCCTGGGCCCCAGTCTCAGGCTGAGCCCCTGTTCAGCTCCTCACGGGCAGGGGGGAGGACGTTCCAGGCCTGACTTGCTGCTTTCTAGAAAGTTCTCTGGCCTTGGGTCCCTCAGCCCTGGCCACTGGCCAATCCATGACCACTTCTGCAGAAGAGGCCTCTGTGGCTACTCCATCCCATGCAGAATCAACGTTCATGACCCTGTGATCTCTGTGCCCCACCTGCAGGCACCGTCTTCTCGATCGCTGACCGCTCCAGCTCCTCCACCATCCGGATGGACGCGCTGGCCTTCCTGCAGGGGCTGCTGGGTACAGAGCCCGCCGAGGCCTTCCACCCGCACCTGCCCACCCTCCTGCCCCCTGTGATGGCCTGCGTGGCCGACCCTTTCTACAAGATGGCAGCCGAGGCCCTGCTGGTGCTCCAGGAGCTGGTACGCACCCTGTGGCCCCTGGACAAGCCTCGGATGCTGGACCCTGAGCCCTATGTGGGAGAGATGTCGGCAGCCACCCTGGCACGACTCCGCGCCACCGACCTGGACCAGGAGGTCAAGGAGCGGGCCATCTCCTGCACGGGCCACCTGGTGGGCCACCTCGGTGACCGTCTTGGGGATGACCTGGTGCCCACCCTATTGCTCCTCCTGGACCGCCTGCGGAACGAGATCACCCGGCTGCCCGCTGTCAAGGCTCTGACCCTGGTGGCCAGGTCCCCATTGCGCCTGGACATGCAACCCATCCTGGCCGAGGCGCTGCCCATTCTGGCCTCCTTCCTGCGCAAGAACCAGCGGGCACTGCGGCTGGCCACCCTGGCCGCCCTGGACGCCCTGGCGCAGAGTCACGGACTCCACCTCCCGCCCTCTGCCGTGCGCGCGGTGCTGGCCGAGCTGCCCGCGCTGGTCAGCGAGAGTGACATGCACGTGGCCCAGCTGGCCGTGGACTTCCTGGCCACGGTGACCCAGGCCCAGCCGGCCTCTGTGGCCGAGGTCAGCGGCCCGGTGCTGGCGGAGCTGCTGCGGCTCCTGCGATCGCCTCTGCTGCCCGCGGGGGTGCTGGTGGCCGCCGAGGGCTTCCTGCAGGCGCTGGTGGGGACGCGGCCACCCTGCGTGGACTACGCAGAGCTCATCGGCCTGCTCATCGCGCCCGTTTATGACCCGGAGGGTGGCGGCGGGCCAGCGCTGGCCAAGCAGGCCTTCCACTCCCTGGCGCGCTGCGTGGCCGCCCTGTCCAGCGCCTGTCCCCAAGAGGCGGCGGCCACCGCCCATCGCCTGGTGTGCGACGCCCGATCGCCGCACTCGAGCACGGGGGTCAAGGTGCTGGCCTTCCTGTCGCTGGCAGAAGTGGGCCAGGTGGCCGGGCCGGGTCCCCAGCGGGAGCTGAAGGCGGTGCTGCTGGACGCGCTGGGGTCCCCCAGCGAGGACGTGAGGGCGGCCGCGTCGTACGCGCTGGGCCGAGTGGGCGCGGGCAACCTGCCCGACTTCCTGCCCTTCCTGCTGGCGCAGATCGAGGCCGAGCCCCGGCGACAGTACCTGCTGCTGCACTCGCTGCGGGAGGCGCTGGGCGCCGCGCAGCCCGACGGCCTGAAGCCCTACGCCGAGGACGTGTGGGCGCTGCTCTTCCAGCGCTGCCCCGACGCCGACGAGGGCACCCGCGGGCTGCTGGCCGAGTGCGTGGGCAGGCTGGTCCTCGTCAACCCCCCGTTCCTGCTGCCCCGCTTCCGCAAGCAGCTCGCCGCAGGTAAGGGACAGAGGCCACCCTGCCCGGAGGTGGCCCTTCCCTGGTCCCCGGGTGTCCAAGCAGCCGATGCACAGGGTGACCCTTTCTCCAGGTCCCAGTGTCTGTGATCAACTCCGAGGAGCCACAGAGGGACTTTCCTGGGACTTCCAGGCCTCCTCTTGCAAGAGAGAGAGGGACACAGAGCACAGACCTCCCAGACCCCTCCTGACGCATGCGCAGTCAGCCCTCCCCTGCAGGCTCCACCTCTGCATTTATTTTATTTTATTTATTTTTAATTATTTATTTTTTTAAAACACTTTGAGGTGGTTTTAATGACTCTCATTGGACACCATATCTTTATTTTATTTACTTTTATGTGGTGCTGAGGATGGAACCCAGGGCTTCACATGTGCTAGGCGAGCGCTCCACCGCTGAGCCACAACCCCAGCCCCTTACTTTTATTTTTTAAATATATTTATTTTTTAGTTGTAGATGGACACAACACCTGTATTTTATTTTTATGGGGTGCTGAGGATCCAACCCAGGGCCTCACACACGTGCTAAGCAAGAGCCCCACCCCTGAGCCACAATCCCAGCCCAAACCGTCTCTGTATTTTAAACCAACCTTGGATGGGAAATATTTGGGGGTAAAAAAATTGCGTCTGTACTGAACATGTACAGACGTCTTCCCCTGTCTTTATTTCCTGAACAATACAGTCCGGAAAATTTCTGGACTTATATTGGATATCTATCAGGGATCCTGAGGAATCTACAGAGGATTGAAAATTCAGGGGAGGGCCAGGCCTGGTGGCCATGCCTTTCATCCCAGCGATCCATCTATAAGCCCAATGATTTGGAAGACAAAGGCAGGAGGATCACCAGATCCTCAGCACCACATAAAAATAAACAAATAAAGGCATGCTGTCCATGTACAACTACAAATTTTTTTTTTTTTAAAAAGGTGTGATATTTGCACATAACCTACCTACATCTTCCCTAGGCAGATAATCCATTATTATTATTTGTGTGCATGTGTGTAGGGGGCAGTACCAGGGATTGAAGCCAAGGTGCTCGACCCCTAAGCTACACAGCACTTTATTTTTATTTTGAGACAAGGTCTCACTAAATTGCTTAGGGCCTCGTTTTTGCTGAGGCTGGGTTTGAACTCACCCATCCTCCTGCCTCAGCCTCCTGAGGGGCTGGGATGACACCCGTCTGGCCTTGTTTTTCTTATTTTCAATTTTTGGAATCCCAAGCAAGCCATTCAGGGACATGTCAAAGCCTCTCCTGATGTCATTCTTTCATTCATTCATTAAGGAAAACCTACTTCCTCCTCTTTCTTCAGCCTTCCCCCACGGAAAGCAAGGGACAAAACCAAATGAAGGCAGGTCTTCCTTCCCAGGCTTGGGGTTGGTCTGAATTCCGTTGGAATCCCCTTGGCCTCCGGGCTGCCTAACCTTGGAGAACACAGCCGCACCCTGGAGAAGGCAGACTCAGTGGGGGAGAGCCTGGCCAGGAATTCTGGATCTGCTGTGTGGCCTTAGATATGAACTTAACCTCTCTGAGTCTTTCTTTCTTGTTGGGTAAAAAAAAAAAAAAAAAAAAAAAAATCAATCATCCTCTTTAGTTACCATTTTCATTAAGATCTTATTTTTTTTTAATTTGTTAATAGGACCATCCTCAGGATGAATTGAGATAGTATGTCTAAAAAACATAATGTCATCTCAAGGCCTCAAGGAAAGGTCTTTCTCTGGGGTGACCCTGGTCTTGGGATGACCTGTTATTCTCTGGTCTCCAGCTGAGAATTTAGGGTGGATTCAAGGCTGGCGAGGGGTACCCTAACATGACTTCCCCAGCCATGCAGGGGGGGTGTCTTTGGAGTGGGGATGGGGTTTAATGCCTGACCTTCACCAGGCTGCATGTCCATGTCACCCAGGTCAGCCACACACCCGAAGCATGGTCATCACTGCGGTCAAGTTCCTCATCTCGGACCAGCCCCATCCCATCGACCCCCTCCTGAAGAGCTACATTGGTGAGCGCTGCCCCCACCCTCATCCCACCCGTCCCCCACACAGCCCTTGACCTTGGACTGATTGATGTTCCTTCTCTAGCCAAGGGCAGCCAGAGACCCAAAGGCCACCTCATCCTCATGATGGACAGCAGGGCCCTGGGGTATCCATCTCCAGCACCCCTCCCCCCTCCCATTTTTGGGGAGCAGAGTTGGGAGCTGTTCTGTCATTGCTCAGAGGAGCACCTCAGACTCTCTGAGGCTCCCGTAGCTCAGTGGAACATTCTGGAATGCAAGCTCTGCCTTCTGAGCTTTGAGGGTGCTTAGACCTGGCACAAAGTAGTTGCTCACTGCGTCCATCGCATCCAGCCAGGTCTGCGCAGCTCACGGTAACCTGGGGGGCAGGGGGTTTTGTCTCTGGCTCTGTGTCCCTTAGCCCCCCCTTGCTGTCCCTTTGCAGGAGAGTTCATGGAGAGCCTGCGGGACCCGGATCTGAACGTCCGCAGGGCCACCCTGGCCTTCTTCAACTCGGCCGTGCACAACAAGCCCTCGCTGGTGCGGGACCTGCTGCAGGACATCCTGCCCCTCCTCTACCAGGAGACCAAGATCCGCCGGGACCTGATCCGAGAGGTGCCGAGCAGAGCTGGGCCTCCTTGTTAGTTCTGTCCCCCCGGGAGCCTGGGACGGAGGCCGCCTCTCCAGCCTCCGTAGGGCCTCGCTAAGTTGCTGAGGCTGGCCTCCAACTTATGGTCCTCCTGCCTCAGCCTCCAGAGCTGCTGAGATGATAGGCATGTGCCCCGACCGTGCCTGGCCGAAAATTCAAATTTTGAAAGGCTTCAAATTGTAAAACTCTTCGAGGGCTCACAACAGGATGCCGCCAATGGGAAGTTCCACCCGTGACCTGGTGTCCAAACACAAGGACGCCACAAATAGTGTATAAAATCGCCTTTAGGCTGTGTGCAGTAAGGTGTCTATGGAACAGCAGTGAATTTCGTGATTAGACTTGCAATCCACCCCCAAGATAGGTCCTCATGGATGTGCAAGTATCCCAGAATCCCAAACATTGCTGGTCCTCAGCATTTTGGATAAAAGATGCTCTGCCAGTAGATGTCAGTGACTCTAGGCTGCCACTCAACATTCAGGAGTGGAGTCTGAGTGACAGGATCCACAGGTGGTGCTGATGTGGTTTCTGCCTCCAAGGAGCTGATCATGGCTCCTAAAAGAGAGCCATGCCCACGCTGCTGGTGATGTAACCTATTGGCAGCCCTTAAAAGCAGACTCTTGGCAGGAGCAGTGGCACACGCCTGTAATTCCAGCAGCAACTGGGGAGGCTGAGGCAGGAGGATCGCCAAGTTGGAGGCCAGCCTCAGCAACTTAGACTCTGTTTCAGACTAAAAAAGATTAATAAATAAAGGAAAAAATTCTGAGGATGAATTTCAACGGTAAATTGCACTGGGTTCAATCTCCAGTTAAAATAAAAAAGAAAGTTAGCCGGATGCAGTGGTATATGTCTGCAATCCCAGTGGCTGAAGGACCACTATGACATCTGGAGGCTGAGGCAGGAGGATCACGAGTTCAAAGCCAGCCTCAGCAAAAGCGAGGCGCTAAGCAACTCAGTGAGACCCTGTCTCTAAATAAAATACCAAATAGGGCTGGAGAGGGGGCTCAGTGGCCGAGTGCCCCTGAGTTGAATTCCTGGTACCCCCACTCCCCCCAAAAAAAAGCAAAGGAAAGAAAAATATTTTATTTCTTTATTTTTTTAATGTGATGCTGAGAATCGAGCCCAGTGTCTCACACTTGCTAGGCAACAGCTCTACCACTGAGCCACAGCCCCAGCACCTCCCCAGGACCTGGATTTTTAATCTTAAGCTAACTGTGTCTCCTTGGGCAAATTAATTAACCTCTCTGAGCCTTAAATGGGGTGAATGATAGCGTTTTCTTCCTCAAACATTTGCAGTGCTGGAGGAAGACGTCAACTGTTGTAGAGTGGGTGAGACCCTGGGTTCAGTCCCCAGCACCCCCCACCCCCAAGTGTCATTTACCAAGGACTCCCGTGTCTGCGTGGTGGATGAAATCAATGGTTCTTTTTACTGTGATCATTATCTGGGGAAAGGGCGCTGCAGGCTGAGACTTAGGATTCGGAGTCAGCACCTGGGACTGGGGGTGGGGCAGGAACTCGGGGTGGGGGGCTGGTGGTCTTCCCCCTGGGGGCCACATCCCCCCAACTTATGTTGTCCTTCCCTCCCGCAGGTGGAGATGGGGCCCTTTAAGCACACAGTGGACGACGGGCTGGACGTGAGGAAGGCGGCCTTCGAGTGCATGTACTCGCTGCTCGAGAGCTGCCTGGGCCAGCTGGACATCTGTGAGTTCCTGAACCACGTGGAGGACGGGCTGAAGGACCACTATGACATCCGGGTAGGTGTAAGCCCTACTCCTGTCCACACGGGAGGAAGGGACAGCTGGGCGCCCCTGGGCCATGTCGGCTTTTCCCCGACTGAGGAGGCCAAGGCAGGAGGATCCCAAGGCCAGCCTCAGCAACTTAGTGAGGCCCTATCCCCAAACAAAAGGACTGGAGATGCAGCTCAGTGGTAAAACACTCCTGGGTTCAACTCCTGTTACCAAACAAATTAAAAAAAAAAAATCAAAAGAAAGACAAAGAAAAAAAGAAAGAGCCTCGTATCCCAGGAGGCTGAGGCAGGAGGATTGCAAGTTCGAGGCCAGCCTCCATAATTTAGCAAGGCCCTATGCAACTTACCAAGACCCTGTCTCAAAATGAAAAGTGAAAAACAAAGGGCTGGGGATGTGGCTCAGTGGTAGAGCACCTTGGGTTTCAATTCTCAGTACTAAAAAAAGAAAAGAAATACAGTAATGTTGGACCACATCCCCACATTCTCACTGTATCAGGCTGTTTTCTGCTGCTATAACAAAATACCTGAACCTGAGCCTGGATACAAAATACCTGAACATTTTGAAAAAAAAGAGGTGGGGACCATGATAATGTGTGGTGATTCCAGCTACTCGGGAGGCATGTGGCCAAGCAGTAGAATGCTTGCCTAGCAGGCAGGGGGCCCTGATTCAAAACCCAGCACTGTAATCCATCCATCCATCCATCCATCCATCCATCCATCCCTCCATCCATCAGTAATATTAGCTGACCATTCTGGAGGTGCAGAGGATGGTGTTGGCATCTCCTTGGCTCTGGTGACACTTCATAGCTGGGGGCTTCACAGTGCCAGAGATAGGTGCCTAAGAGTTCAAATGGTAAAGCAGGAAACGAGAGGGATTCAGGGCCCAAGCTTGTTTTTTTGTTTTGTTTTATATGGAACTGTGGGACTGAACTCCAGGGATTGAACCCTCTGAGCTACATCCCCAGTCCTTTTTATTTCATTTATTTATTTATTTATTTACTTATTTTTGAGACAGGCTTCCTTTAAGATGCTGAGGCTGGCCTTGAACTTGGAATCTTCCAGCCTCGGCCTTCTGAGCAGCCAGGATTACAGAAGTCTGCCCCCATGCCTGGCCTGACCTGCTTTTTATCACTCCCTCCTTGTGGAACTAACCAGGGTCCTCTGCTAACTGCATGAAGCCCTTGCAAGGAAACTGCTCCCAATGACCTAAATACCTCCCATTAGGCCCCACCTCTTAAAGGCACACTACCTCTCAACACTGCCACAGCAGGGCTCGAGCTTCCAGTCCATGATTCTTTGGGGGACACACTCCAACCTTCTCCAAGTGCCGGCAGCCACCCTAGATACCAGCAGCTGGAGCTGGGTCCCTGCTGTGGTTGGGACTTCTGCTCCTGCTCCTCTTCAGTCCCTCTCTGGCTTCTTTACTTACCGACAGGCTCTGGGGACCCCAGGAGCATCTGAACTTGAGAGCCCACCTGTCCCCTGGCACCTCTTCTCATCCACCCCTCCTCAAGGCCAGCCAAGTGTACTGGATAAAGTTTAGTGTCACACGTCACATGTTGTAGATGAGGAAACTGAGGCTCAGACAGGGAGCCACTCAGGCAGGGCCCTGTGGGGACTTGGTTTCACCCTGGGCCCCAGGTTTTGGGTACAGAGGGTCTCCTCGTCCTCTGGGCCCACTGTTTTTGTTCTTGGGCAATTTCACTAAGAATGCTCTGTCTCCTTCCTTCCTTCTGGGCAGATGCTGACCTTCATCATGCTAGCACGGCTGGCCACCCTGTGTCCTGTGCCTGTCCTGCAGAGGGTGGACCGGCTCATTGAGCCACTGAGGGCCACCTGTACCGCCAAGGTAAGCCCCTTTCCCCGCCCGAACCTGGATCACCTGCAAATCACTCAGTTACCAGTTACTGAAAGGGCCATCGTTCACCCCTCCCCATCACCCGGCCAGGAGCTTCCTGTGCTGACCGTCTCAGGTGCAGAGGGGCAGAGGCCAAGTTGTGGGTCGAGACAATGCAACTAAGAAATCCCAGAGCCAGACTCCTAGGCCACTTAGTGAGACCCTGTCTCAAAAAGAGATATTAAAAGGGGCGGGGGATGAGGGTCAGTGGTGAAGTAACCCTGGGTCCAACCCCAGGCACCAAAAAAACTAAAAAACTTGAATGAAAGAACTAATGTGAATTTTGAAAATGTAGAAATCAACCAAAAGAAGGGCTGTTTTTATATTGAAGCTTAAAGAGGAGAGACAGACATCCATCCATAAGATGGTGTTTTTTTAATTTCTTTTTTTAATGTAAATTTTATTTATATATGACAGCAGAATGCATTACGATTCTTATCACATACATAGAGCACAATTTTTCATATCTCTGGTTGTATATATTCACACCAATTCGTGTCTTCATACATGTACTTTGGATAATGATGTCCATCACATTCCACCATCATTAATAACCCCCTGCCCCCTCCCTTCCCCTCCCACCCCTCTGCCCTATCTAGAGCTCATCTATTCCTCCCATGCTCCCCCTCCCTACCCCACTATAGTCAGCCTCCTTATATCAGAGAAAACATTCGGCATTTGGTTTTTGGGGATTGGCTAACTTCACTTAGCATTATCTTCTCCAACACCATCCATTTACCTGCAAATGCCATGATTTTATTCTCTTTTATTGCTGAGTAATATTCCATTGTGTATATATGCCACATTTTTTTTTGTCCATTCTTCTACTGAAGGGCATCTAGGTTGGCTCCACAGTTTAACTGTTGTGGATTGTGCTGCTATAAACATTGATGTGGCTGTGTCCCTGTGGTGTGCTGTTTTTAAGTCCTTTGGGTATAGTCCAAGGAGAGGGATAGGTAGGTTAAATGGTGGTTCCATTCCCAGATTTCCAAGGAATTTCCATACTGCTCTCCATAATGGCTGCACCAATTTGCTGTCCCACCAACAATGTATGAGCATACCTTTTCCCCACATCCTCGCCAACACTTATTGTTGTTTGACTTCATAATAGCTACATTCTGACTGGAGTGAGATGGTATCTTAGAGTGGTTTTGATTTGCATTTCTCTGATTGCTAGAGATGATGAGCATTTTTTCATATATTTCTTGAATGATTGTATGCCCTCTTCTGAGAAGTGTCTATTCAGGTCTCTGGCCCATTTGTTGATTCGGTTCGATTATTTTTTTTTTTGGTGCTTAGCTTTCTGAGTTCTTTATATACCCTAGAGATTCGTGCTCTATCTGATGTGTGAGGGGTAAAGATTTGCTCCCAAGTTGTAGGCTCCTTATTCACCTCACAGATTGTTAAGATAGTGTTTTTTGAGTACGAAACTTGTTCCAGAGCCGGGCGTGGTGACGCACACCCAGTGGCTCTGGAGGCTGAGGCAGGAGGATCCCAAATTCATGATCTGGGCAATTTAATGAGACCCTGTGTCCAAATGACATTTCTTTTAAAAAAAAGCATTGGGGGTGCTGCACTTGCCTGTCATGTTGTGGGGCCCCAGGCCACACCAGAATCAAACAACAAAACCTGAACTGGCTTGAGGTGTGCACGATCTTTAATTCCCTCTGACTGGAATATTCATAATACTCATATATTAAAGGGGAGAAATATTAATATATTTGATTATCGGGTATTCTGCCAGACCTCGTATCTGCAGCCTTATCTTTCTGGAAAAAAATCAAAATAATCCTGATCAGATACGGACCTGCGAAGTCCATCAGTCCTCACAGCAGCTCTGTCAAGAGAAGGCTGACTTACAGATGGGGGACGGAGGCCCAAAGAAGGGGTTACCTAAGGTCACCCCTGTAAGAGGGCAGAGCCATTGAACCCAGGCCTGTGGACCTACAGGATTGTTTAGGGGAAGCGGGAGGAATTAATTAGTAAATGTCAAGGTGGCTGGGTGTGGTGGTGCAGGCCTGTAATCTCAGTGACTGGAGAGGCTGAGGCAGGAGGATCGCAAGGTCAAGGTCAGCCTCAGCAACTTGGGAGACTCAGTCTCAAGATTTAAAAAAAAAAAAAAAGGAAGGAGCGCTGAGATGCAGGAGACCGATTAGAATGAGGCCAAGATGCCAGGCTGGAGCCTCAGGCGACCCTGAAGCCACTGCAGGGACTGGCTTGAAGGTGGGGAGGACCAAAAGGGAGGCTGCCTCCTGGGTGGTGAGGCCAGGATTGAAGGACAGCTCCACCCATTTTCCCCCACTGTAGGTCAAAGCCGGCTCAGTGAAGCAGGAGTTTGAGAAGCAAGACGAGCTGAAGCGCTCCGCCATGAGGGCCGTGGCCGCCCTGCTGACCATCCCCGAGGCAGGGAAGAGCCCCGGCATGGCCGACTTCTCGGCCCAAATCCGAACCAACCCCGAGCTCACCATCCTCTTCGAGAGCATCCAGAAGGATTCCGCCTCAGCCCCCAGCACGGACTCCATGGAGCTCAGCTAGTTCTCCTGCTGCTCAGGAGGAGTCCAGTGAGCCCCATCTCCCCCTACCGCCCCAAGACCGGGGCCTGACTTCTGTCCTTCATCTCATTGGGGGCTCTCGGCCCCGGGTTGGGGCTACAGTGCCTTCTCCAGGAACCCAAGCTCGCAGGCCCCCAGCCCCAACCGCGAGGCCGCCAACAGTGGGCCCTTTCACTCAGGATGTTGTTAGGGGGACAGTGTTTTCCAGTGACCTGTCACCCCTCTAGTTATTCTGGCTCCTTCAAACTGGGGAGTCCCTGCCTCACTCACCTGCACTCAGAAATGCATAGCATTCAGCTGCTGGGCTCAGAGCCAGCCGGCTGACCGCTCCCCTGGTGTCCCTGGCTCCTCACCACCACCAGTCCTCCTCCTCTTGACGGGATCTGGGCTCTCTGCTGCCATTAAGGTAGTGCTCTGGCCAAGAGTCCGAAGAATGGGGTGGCAGGTGGGTCATGCTGTAATCCCAGTAACTGGGGAGGCTGAGGCTGGAGGATTCCAAGTTTGAGGCCCATCTCAAAAATCAAAAAGGCTGGGGATGAAGGACATTCTTCCAGCATGTGAGGCTGGGGGTTCCATCCCCAGCGCAACCCTCTCCCCCAAAGAAACCAGTTCAGATACTTGAGTTATTCATTCTAAATTTCAAAAAATGCCCCTTGGGTTAGAAGCAGTGGATCCAAAACTCAAATAGTATGAGGGCTTTTTGCAGGGAGGATACACAGGACGGGGACCTGAAGGGTTGACCCTAATGTTTCATTTCTACCTTCAAACGATGTAACCAATCAGGAGACAGGAAAGTACGAATCACTTGGAGACAAAAACAGGCCAAAGCTTTTTTTTCTGTGATATGCAAAGCTAATAAAGAATAGATCCTAAATTGCTACCAATTTCTCCTCACAATTCCTATTCCCAAGCTGAACCCCATCTTTAATATCCTTCCCAAGTCGATTTAAAGAAACCCTGAAAAATGACCAGTTTGTGCATCAACACCAATCTATAACACACTCACCTACTGGACCTGGTGGCTGGCATGCCTGGCAATGGCCTCTTAAGACCAATGTGCCAATCCTGCTAGATCAGCTAGGATACAGGGGGGCGAAAGGCCTAGAACCATTTTTCAGTCTTGTTCACGAGGTACCAGGCAAGTACGACCACATGAAAATACGGCGTCTTGCAAAAGCAGAATCAAACCTTGTTGAGGACACCGAATTCAAGATTTTGAGCTTCACCACCCTAGTCTTAGTTCAACACCAGAGGCCTGTCACCAGCCAGATCCCACACTCTAGGAAGCAGCTGGGACAGGGGCAGAGTGAAAGCCGTCTTCCAGTACCCAAGGCTGACCCAACACAAGAGCAATCTGGGTGACACCCTGGGGTGCATTTGAGGATATCTTGTAAGGATCGTGCCTAACAGGCAGGGTGCAGTGTGCACACCTGTAATCTTAGCTGAGGCAGGAGGAGCACATGTTGTGAGGCCAGCTTGAGCGAGTGGGTGCTAAGCAACTCAGACTCTGTCTCTAAATAAAATACAAATTAGAGCTGGGATGTGGCTCAGTGGTCAAATGCCCCAGAGTTCAATCCCTGGTCACCCCCCAACACGCATGCAAAATTGCAGTTTCTTAATTCTCACGAGGGCGGGGCTAACATGACCACTTGGTCCGAGGCCAAGCCTTTCCTCCCAGGCAACCCTGGGTCAACCTGAAGTCCTGCTCCCTGTGCAAGGGCCTAGTGCCCCTGGCAAACCCCTTCTTCAGAATCTTCCATTCACGGAGGATCCCACAGGTGACAGGCCAAAGAACCACGTCTGTGACAAGCTGTCCAGTGAAGTCAAGAAAGGGAAACAAAACCAAGGCAGGAAAAGCCAGGTGGCAGCTTGTGGCTTTATTTGAGCACACAAAAAACGTGCGCGCGAACTGTCTATTCATTTTCTTCACTGCGCAGCCTGGCGTTGGGATTGGTGACTCTGATGGCTAGCTGGGCCGCTCTTTCCACGATGGCTTTGCGGTTCTTGGAGGAAACGTTGTGGGCAATCTCTGCACAGTAAGATCTGGAAGAGAATCAAGCACAGGGGTGAAGAGCAGGCCCAGCCCGGGAAACACCTGGGAAATGCACTCAGGGGTGCTGCGTAAATGGCTGCTGAATGAGGCCCAAATCCTGGTGGAGAGTCGCTCTCCTCAGTCCTCACTATGGCCTCGCAGCTACCTGTTTCAGATGAGGAAACCAGGGTCCACAGCGGTGGACGTGAATTTCCAGGTCACACAGCAAGAGACTGACACGTCTGGGAGGAAGCAGCCAGACTCCAGGTTCAAAGGCTACCCCCACACCCCGGCTGACCCACCAACTCCAGAGCCCCAGGGAGCTTGGCTTTGTCCATAGTCCTGGGACTTGCAAAGGGACCAAGAGCAAAATCCAACAGTCTGAATAGAGCCAAGGGTCCCCAGTTGGACTACCGAGGACAGAGCCCACCAGCTGCACTTGGTACACTGTTCTAACCCGCCATTCCTCAGGGCTCTCAGAGCCACACTTTGAATGAGGACCCAAGCACTCCAACAGCAGGTAGTGAAGGCAGAGAGCTCCTGTGTCACAGAGCAGGGCTGAAGTAGTCACGCTTAAGTGCTTCATTTTCAGAACATGTCTATTGTACTGCACTTTTCGTCTGTCTTCATTTTCCTCAAATGCTTTAGGTCTTTGCCACCTGCATACACAATAGCCACAGTGGCTGCACCTACTGTTTTAAGGTGCAGCACGTTTCCCTCACGGCCACACAGCCGTCAGTGAGTGGCTGTCTGACGCCCGGTCCCAGCACTCTGCTGCCTTTCCACTTGTGTTCCAACTGTTTACTGCTACAACAACCAGCTGTATAAGCTTCCCTGCCTCAGTTGTTTTAAGGGCAAATGCCCAAAAATGGAGCTAAATATATATATCATGTGGTATTTCAGGAGCTTAAATAGTGCAGCTGCTCTTGGAAACAAGATGGTGCACATGTGGCCCAGTGATCAAGTGCTCCTGGCCTCGGTCTCCAGTCAGTATCCCCACCCTGCTGGATGGCCATCACTTGTCTACAGCCACTAAGGAGAGCTCTGGGAACGTGCACAGATGGCACCAGTTAGTCACTCTCCCCATCCTCTCCAACTCCCTCAAGTGTCAAGGGCCTCTCCCATGACAAACTGCTCTCATTTCCTTGCCGTGGTCCTGACTGCAGCAGCCCAAGTCTCCCACAGAGCTTGCCCAAATGTGTAACTTGCATCAAAACACAGAACCTAGCGCTGGTGTCCCTCCACGCCCCCTCCCAGCAAGCCCTTTTTCTCAACTCCAGATGGCACCTGGCTCTAAAGCCCTGTCCCAGGTAGGCAGCCGTTCTTCCACCTCAGTGGCCGTCTCCAGATAACTCTTGCCATAGCACAGATCGAGGTGTCCCCTAGGACTGAGGTTGTGAGTGCTGCGGTGTCCCCTGTGTCAAGCAGTCCCTCCTGCAAGGAGCCATCTCACGTTTCCTCAGGGGATGAGCAATCCCTCCACAGGACCAAGAGGATCCACAGTTGCTGCCCCAACTCTCAGACTCGCAGCCCTGCGGCAGGAGGGACCCGACTCACTTGTTACACATGAGCAGCACCTCCAGCTCCTTGACGTTGTGCACCAGGAACTTGCGGAAGCCACTGGGCAGCATGTGCTTGGTTTTCTTGTTGCTCCCGTAACCAATGTTGGGCATCAAGATCTGGCCCTTGAACCTCCTCCGCACCCGGTTGTCGATCCCCCTGGGTTTCCGCCAGTTGCGCTGAAACAAGGAACACACAGCTGGGTTGGTCTCTGGGCAAACTGCCAGCCTTTCTTTTTAAGGAGAACAAATGAAAGAGAAGATGCGGGACACTAGGTGCCCTTGGGTAACAGGACTTCCTCCTCCTTTGCTGGGGAGGGAGAAAAAATTCCTAGATTTACCCACTGGAAGTGGAGACCCACACTCTCACTCCTAAGCAACGGGAAGGTCAAATAGAGCAGGCAGGGATGTGGGGGGCTTTATCTTTGGGGAGATGAAGAGCACAGCACAGGTGTCCTCACTGTTCTTAGGACATGAGTTTTCACAATCAAAACACCAGGGACAATCTCCATGCGTGGCATAGATACAAAGTTCTTGAATGGCCCCAGGGCAGTCCAGGGTCTGTTATTATCCACACTCATAGGCGAGCTGTTCGGCAACTCCCTCCCGCACCCCAACACACCCACCCCAGAACCCCGTACCTTAATTTTGACATATCGGTCTGACTGGTGCCGGATGAACTTCTTGGTCCTCTTTTTGACGATTTTGGGCTTCACGAGGGGTCTAAGGGCAGCCATGGTGCCTAAAAGGAAAAGGGAGATCCCTGTTGAAGCAGAATCCTCCCGAGGGGCTCCGGCCCAGGGCTTGGCTGGGACCTGAGTGGTGTCGCAGAGTGTCTTCCAATCACCAGTTACTGAGCAAGCTGGGAATGGAATGGGTGCCTCTGCTAGGCTTGCTCTCCCTCCTGCTTCCGAAGCTGGCAGAATACTAGGCACTCTCCAGATGCGATCTCAGGAGGTCAGGGGTCACCTCAGCCCCCCAGAACAGCTGACTTAAATCAAAACTGAACCCAAGACCTTCTAACTTGCAAAGGACAGCAAACCCCCAAACCCCAAAGTCTCCCTACCCCCAGATGGTCTTTTAAGCCGTGAGCCCTTTTCTTATTTGCAAAATGCACAAGACATTGGCACATTGCATGCTTGCCCAGTGCCTGGCACAAAATAGATGTTCAATAAAACAATTCCTGTAGGGTGCTGCAGCCCCGAGATACCCTCAAAACCATGCATAGAACCACTCTGCACCCCCAAAACCAGCCAACCTGAAAACCAGATTCTACCCAGAACTATCAGTTACCATCCCCAAGGTGGTCTTCCCGGCCACCCCATCTGTCTCTACCACAATCCTTTCTGTCATTTTCACAGCCATCAATTCACTTTGTCTGCCACGCACTAG